TGAAGGGAAGAAAATTAGTAGGATGAATGTCAGATTTAAATAATGAGCTCAAAAATCTTGTTATACAAGAAGGTATAATGAAGTTCCATCTAAGAGGTCAGAAACTATTCTGATAATGTTAAGATTGTGAAATTAAGTTAGATCTTTCAAAGCATATTGAAGAAAATAAAAAAATGCCCTTTTCTCATAAAAGGAGGAGAAACAAAGAAGTGGGGTTACTGTGCTGAGGAGAGTGAGCCAAATTTAGGGAGTGTGTTTTAAAAAAAAAAAATATCCAAACTCCAGTTACTATTTTACTTCAGTTTCTGCTGAGGACAGTTATGATAGATACTGAATGGAAGGTGGGATGGGTAATTGAAGGTGGAGTTTGGAAATAGGAATCTATTTTTCTGTGTGAAGAGCAGACTGAAAAGAAGGGACTGTGTTAAATCTAGGAACCTGGACAAATTAATCCCATTCATTGCTTTAAAACTGTCTGTATACAAACGTCAAGTTTTGATGGATTTAGAGGTCCATATAAACCATCTTGTGAGCTATAAAGACTAAGAATTGCTTGCCTTTTTTCTCTGTAAGGATTGACTGGCATGATGCAATGGCTTAATGTGCTTGCATTTATACAGAAAGAATAAAGAAGCAAAGAATACTTTATATTTTTAATTCATTGTCTTTCAGCAAGTGTGTACCTTAGAATATTCTAATGACTTGCTGGATTGTTATTTACCATAATATGTATTACTACGAATGTGTATTCATGAAAAAGGCAGTAGTGAAAGGAAAATTGTAACCCCCAATTATATTTTTTCTGCCTCACAAATTAAGTGGAAATTTGGTATAAATTGCTGGTATGAAATCTCTTACTCATCTTACAGGCCTGATAGCCATCTCAATCTGCAATTAATAGTTTCTTTTTTATTTATCTTTAAATTTTTATTTTATTTCTTTTAATAAATGGCAAGGTCAGTCTTAACATAGTTTGTGTTTGGGGGGGGTGTGTGTATATGTATATAGTATGTATTATGTAGTCTTCCATCATTTAAAGTATTTCAAATGAATTTTGGGGGTGAATATTTGGTGAGACTGTTTCTTTATGGGGGATATATTGTTGGCTAAATATTTCTGCCTTCGAAGTAGTTGAGAAATGCATCAGATTTTATGAGAATGAACATTAAAATGTGGCTCTGAGAAATTAAAAAAGCTTTTCTGAAATAAGATTATCAGGTAAGGGTATTCTTGCAATTAGCTTATGTGCCTTTTCCTTGCTGCCACTCAAATGAATTGCTTTTGCAGTGTTGTCTTTTAAGTAGATTTCTCGTGGTGATATCAGAGATTCTGGTGTTGAATGTATCATGAGTCATTTGATTAAAATAGTGCTACTTGAGATTTATTCTCATCAAAACTGCTGCAAATCCTCATCATTCTGTCAGTCCTTTTTAGATTTCTGAAGAAACAGTTTGTACCATGATAAAACTCGATGTTGCAAATTCTTTTATGATAACACTAGTATAGTTTCTAGAGATTTCCTTACAGCTATTATACTTACCAGATAATTTTCTCCTATACTATATGTAAAGCAGTAGTAGGTGCTGTTAATACACTGCTAGCATTCTGCCACTTAAGATGTGTTATTGTATGTTTTTATAAAATGTGATTAAAGATACTGGTAGCCAGGTGTTAAAATCTAGGGGCTTTTGTTTATTTTAATTTAACTTAATGTTCTCCAACATTTCTGATAAGACTACTGTTTCCTGAGAACCTAAGGAAACTTGTTTAATGCTCTAGACTGGCCTTTTCAGAGAGGTATAAGGCAGTTCAATGTCAAGTGCCAGCTGAAAATTGGTGAAAACTAGGGCTGTTCCCTTAAGCAGTTGAGAAGTGCAAGCTAAGGCCATTCTCTGCACTGCTTTTGTTGCATGTTAGTAGAATGCGGATGTGTTATCCACATTTTTTGAGAAGTAACTCCTTAAAGTTGTAAATACTACTTTTGGAAGCAGTTTTTGGTTTTGTTGGTTTTTTTTTAAACCAATCCTCTCAGTAGTAGGGATCTGTTTTTCAGATGCTAAAAATAATTTAACATCCAATATTGGAAAAATAGGTGAATAACACTAAAATTGCACATATGCATAACAGTACTACTGGGGTCACAATATTATGGTCTGTACAACCTTGATTTGGATAACTTGCATCTGTACATCATGACAGGATTTATGGCCCATGTCTGTTTTAAAGTAATCTTTTTACATCTATGGTTATCCATTTCTTGATGACCAACTGGTGACTATTGAGTCTGATTTAGATATACTTGAGATCTCATAATTACAATTAAAGTTGGGGAATGTGATATAATACTGAACATCTTGAAAAATATTGTCCTGGGTATTTCACATTTGTTTCCCAAAACAGAAAGATATGTTTACACTAACCTGTTCAGACTCTATTTGCCATTCTTGAGAGATATGTTGTGAAAACTTATTCTTGGTAAGAGCTTTCATAAAATAATGAGTTCTAGAAAGAAGGCAAGAATGATTCCTTAGGGTGTGATGAATCAGGTAAAGAGCTTCTTAAAAAGAATTGTTCATTATATGAGCGATATCACTTTTGTATACTGAATGAAGCAGAACTCAGTTGTAGGAAAAAGAACATGTCATTTGGTAATTTAAAGCTCTCTATTACCTGTCTGGAAAAAACAGGAAAAATCTGGAGTTAAGTATAATTACTTGCTGGGAACAGTGTATGCTTTAGCATTTTTAAAGACCAACTACATTTGAGTATCTTACATCAGGACAGTATACCCTGTCTAGTGTGTTCACGGTTTTAAGATACTTGAGCATTCTCTTTGAGAAGGTAAGGTGAAGATAATTATGGGAGTTGGACAAAACACCCAGCTGGTTCAGTTTTCTGTCTTGCATGATGGCTTAAGGAGACCCTACGAGAACATGGAGAGGCATACGATGATGGTTTTCTTCAGTGAACTTGTAGCAGCGTGCAGTTTGAGGTCTGCCTGAGCCAGAGATTTTCTTCTGTGTTTAGCAACACATGGTATACTTTCATCTCCTTCAAGGATTTATATAATCTTTTTGAACTCCTCTACATTTTTTGACATCTGCAGCATAATGTAACAGTAGTTCCACAGCTTAACTGCATATTTATTTGTTTTCTTTGGGCAGATCTTAATCTTCATACCTAATGATTTCATTTGTTACCTTAGTTATTTTATTTCTAGAAATAATGAAAAATTGTTCTTTACTTACCTTCATGCAGTTTTTGATTTTTAACTCTCTAGCATCTTCTTAAGCACTCTAATTTTCCAGGCTAAATAAAAAATCTAAATGTATTTAGTTCCCTTCATAATTAGAAGAATTCTTTTATCCTTTTCTGTATTTTTTTAAAATGTCCTGTGCTTTTTTTCTGATGGGGAGAGGAGAGTTGGGAACAGAAGAGAGGAGGGACCGAAAGAAAGTGCATCACTCAAGATACGGGCACACAAAGATTTCATACCACAGCATAAGGGATTTCTGGGTTTGTTTTGAAGGTTTGGGGGACAGTACATTTGTAGTACTTTTCCACTTCAATACCTTCCTTGAAGTTCGAATGTTCTATTTGCTTTTTGGATTACCGCTAGTGTCTTCTCATAGAGTTGTCTATGGTAACTCCAGGCATTTTTTTTTTTCTCAGTTATAACCCTATGCACAATTGATTATTATCATACTTCGCGTGGATTACTCATTTAACTATCTGGAACTTTATCTGCCATTTTATTTTTCAGCTGCTTAACATTTTGATACTGTAGTACACTTTTCAGCAGTCAGCTTTGATTTCTGCTGCAGTGGATAATTTACTAAGCTAAGAAAGTCAGCTTCCTCACTGTTCATATGTGACTGAATGAGGCAGGATGAATTCTTCTGGTGACCTCCTTTCACTGAAAAAACTGAATATTTATTTTTTTACCCTTTTGGTTTTTTTGTCTGCTAATATAGTTCCTCATTCATAAGAGGACCTCCCTCTTTGCGGCCATGATTGTTTCGTGGTTTTAAGACCCTTTTGTAAGGGAACTTGTTAGGTACCTTGGAAATCTAAATAAGTCAACCATCTCATTGTTCCTTCCTCCTGATTCCTTTGAGCGATTATTAATAAAAATAATTATTACCATCTACAAAAGTAACACTCGTTCTTTCACATAGTAGCCTGTTTGTGTATCTGTTAATTCTAACATCTACTCTTTGTACAGGTTTGCCTAGTAGAGGTATCAAATTTACTTGTATACAGTTCCCAGGAGCCCTTTTTATTAGAAGAAAAAAAGTCTGCATTTGCCACTTACTACTCCAATATGGAGTGTATATTTAACCAAATATGTAAACAGAACACCTAGATTCAATAATTTAAAACTCTGGAAAGACTAGCTTTTGGTCTTGGTGACTATTTTACTGTTTCTGTTCAGAAAACTTTCTTTTTGAGATAATTCTCTAGCTTATTCTTATTTAAGTCCAGTATGGGAGCTTGAGAAAGTTCCTGTGTACTAAATACTGATGGGAAGAATTCATTGGCTTTTCTGTGGGTTTATAGAACTTCAGTGCTGTAAAGCCACTTATATGCTTTCAGATGTCATAAAAGTTGTGCAAATATGGACAGACTGTTTTGAGGACAAAAACATAACACCTCTCTTACTCCAAACTCTTGCTAAATTCTAGATATGGGAGGTTTAGATTATTGCAAAGGAAGAAACCATTAGTTTTTAAAATTGTTTCTAAATATCGAAACTCTCTATTTTTCTGACTCTTGTATTCAGTCGCTAAGCTCATTTGGTTGAAACTTTACTCAGAAAAGGTCAGTCTGAAACAAAAAAGTGTTCTGGATGATTTTAACCTGAATGGTTACTGTTTGCCATAACAATGAGTAATTGAAAATAACAGTGATATCAGCCAGACATGTAGTATGAGTAGGTGACTGTTGTGTGTTTTTTGTTTGTTTTTGGTTTTTTTTCTCCCCACTTTTTCTTCTTGAAGCCTATGGAAAAGTGTTCCTAGTAAGAAAAGTAAGCGGCCATGATGCTGGAAAATTATATGCCATGAAAGTACTGAAGAAAGCAACAATAGTTCAAAAAGCCAAAACAACTGAGCACACAAGGACAGAACGACAAGTGTTGGAGCACATTAGGCAATCACCATTTTTGGTCACGTTACATTATGCCTTCCAGACAGATACAAAGCTTCATCTCATTTTAGGTGAGTAGTTTTCAGGATTTGAGTCTTATATTAATAAAAAAAAAAAAAATCTGCCCTTTTATCTCATTAATGTTTTGTGGGTTTTCTTAATGTGGTCTCAAGTACTGTGTATTTGGAGATTACTTCCTATGGGGTCTCATGCAAAATACTGTTCATCTTCAACAGTGTCTGTTTGTGATTTTCCTGTTTGAACTTCAGTGTGCTACTCTGACTTGGAGAGGGGGAAAGTATTACCACTGACTTACATGCTGCAAAATACGTATATGACCATAAGTACCTAAACCAGAGGAATACTTTTTTGAACTTACCTAAAAGATGAAATTTTGATTTGCACTTTTTAAACCGTTATTATATACTGCATTAGTTTTCTACAGATTTTCAAATAAACTGCTGCCGTGAATGAAAAAGTCCTTAATTTGTATGAATAAGGGCATTAAAGGGATTCAGTTTTTCTCTGCTTGCTACCTTTGTGTATGTGGCACAGAGGTTATTGGTAAGATGGGAATGACCAAACGTGACTTTGTTACTGGGGTTAGTTGGTAGGAAGGAAGGAAAAAGTAAGGAAATATTTAAGCAGTAAAAAGCCTTCTAGTTGAAACATACTGCACATTTCACTCTAAGAACACGTTGTATATTGTCCTCAGTGAGACAGATGACAACATTTCAAAAACACTGATCAGATAGGACATGGCTACCTGTCACTATGCTGACCAGTTGGTATGCTATTTTAGTACTGAAATGCTGCAAACTGAAAGATTGTCAGGCAAGTCTTATTTCTAAACAAATGTGCTCATAGTGTGGGAGATACCAGTTGAAGATGATTGTGCTTTCATTTATTTCTGGTTGATTTCTTTACAACACTGGAATCTACAAGTTGTTGGTATGGTTTCCAGCTGTAAAATGCTGGTGAAAATACTTGTGTGGTGCATCAGTTTCTTGTTTTATGCATTTTGCTATACAAAATGAAGTATCACACCTTATTAGAACAGTCTTCATTGCACTTCTGTCCTTGCCATTTTGCTTTCCATTTCGATGGGAAGAACCACATCTATTTTTGTAGCATTTGCAAGGTTGGCAGAAGACTGATCAGGAACTTTCTTAGGGTTTTCAGCTTGGATATAACTTCTGTATGTATGTGTGTCTCTGTTCCCTACCACTGTCCTTTTTCAGGACAGTAACGTTTTGGAGAACGATGCTGAGATTAAGGAGTTACATTCCTTTTGCTTTATTCCCCAATTTCATTGCCTTTGAACAGTCTGGTCCTTCTCAGGATGATGAAGGATTTATCCTGATGATGAGGAACACTTATTTCAGGAGCTGGAAGCGAGTGTTAAAATCAACTCTAAACCTTACTGTTTCAGGAAGCATTTGCTGCCAAAACTTTTTGTTATGAAACCATTTGATGTTTGAGTATTGAGATACTCGCATGTTTCAATTTTGGGGTATTAAGAGGCAATTCAAAATCACGCATTTCTGTGCTGAAAGTAGAGCTTGTTCATAAGGCTTGGTACCACTCTACCTTTCAGATCAGCAGCGAATTTTGTGTTTGGTATATAAGATGTATTTGTAAGGAAATTACAAGCAATTTTTAAAGACTGCTTAGTTAGAGTATTTTAAAAGAACTGGAAAATGAACTATCAAGTTAATGCTCGAATGCAGAATACATTTTTGTAGTGAATTGAAGAAGTAAATGGCCCTTTAATTGAAGTACAAGTTTTGCAATTCCTTTAGCTTGTAACTTCCATTTATTGAACGTTCAATAACAGACTGATTTAGACATTCAATATAACATTAATAATATTTTATTAAAGAATCTAAACCAGTGGCTGTCAATTCTTAGGAAGGTGTTCTATGCACATACCTTAGTTTCATATACTACAGTGAGATAATACAGGTATCTGTGAGCTCAAGCTTAAATGGAGCATTCGCTACATTACTTTTGAAAATGAGAGTTGAAAATTGTAAGGTTTCTTACAAATTCCCCTGACTAGGACATTAAAGCAATATGTATTGTGACAGGCTGGAAAATGCTAAAGAAATAAAAGAGAAAGTTAGAAATACACCAATAGCTTTGTGATTCCTTGATGTTAATCTTAATAATTAAGGTTTCATACTATATTTTTTTGGTATTCAAGTTACTTTCAAGTTTTTTTCCAAATTATTAATCAGTAAATGAGACAAAATGTGAACATGTATTATAAGTATTATAGTACTGTTCTTTCAATGCAGATATTTTAGGCTAGAATGCAGTTTAGATGCCATTGGAAATATTTTAAAAAAAACAAAACCAAAAAAACCCTCACACCTGAAATGAATGTAGTTACCTAAAAATAAATACATAGTCATACAGAAATTTAGGTGACAAGGGTGATTAGAAGGCCAGAAAAACCTCTTATATGAAGGGAAAACTAAAAGCTTGACACTATATTCTCGTAAGAATCAAAGAGGAGGGAGCCCAGTAGTTCTGAAGAACATTACATAGCAGATAGTGCACACAATGTTAAGGTGATGTTTAAAGCAAGACATTCAAAGCTGATGTATAATTAAAAGCTTTTTGTTTTGTTTTTTTTTCTCTCCCACAAAGTCTACATGAATCCATTCTCAGAATATCAGTTGGGGCCAGAAAGGTTCTTTTTCTTTTTTTTTTTTTTAGCAGAAAATAGGAATAGAGGGTGTTTAAAAATTTCTTTTAGTCAGTTTTGGTGACAGCAAAAAACTCTTCTACCTAACGTGGCCTAAAGCTACTTTATAATTCAACTGGACTTCACACCCTCCCTGACAAAAAAAAAAACAAACCACCACACACACAAACAAAACGAAACAAAAAAACCAGAAACCAAAACCAACAAAAACTGTTGCAAGTTTCTTATGTCTCATTATGTAAATCTTTGTAAATCACTTCTTTGATTTAGTTTTGGAATTTGTGTTTCAGAGGATTCTGAATTGTTGGAGAAATCAGTCTCTGCCTTTGTTTTTATACTTAACTGAACTTGGTGTATCAGAAACATGCCATTTCAGTTTCAAGGGGTTTTAGAATTGGAGCCTCAGTGCAATATTTCATACAATTCTTCATTCCATCAGACTGCATAGCCATATGAATTTAGTCTGGATGAAGTGCAGACTGCATAATGCAGCTGTATTTCTGCCAGATTCCCAGAATACAGGGTTTGGAGTTGATTCCAGTTTTTAGGTTGACTTTAAGCTGTGATTGAAAGAACAAAGTATTGTATCCATGTCAGTACCAGTTCTATACAAAGCTTGTCACACAAGTTAAACCTAGCAGTAGTTTAAAAAAAAAATAAATATAAATCTGAACTGGCAGATGAAGTTTATACTGGAATAATTGATTCCCTCCTCTCACCCCTGACCCCATTGTGTCATTGGTGCATTTGATTTAGCACCAAGAATTTGAAGGCTGGTTGTTTCATTGGGCTGTGGTTAGTGTTATAACCTGAATAGAATTAGGCTTGTTCTGCCACTACTGTGGCAGCTTTGGTTTCTATCTGCCAGAGTCCTTAAAACAGTGCCTAGGAATTAAGTTCTTACCTTGTACTAAGTTAGCAGTTCTAATAAGAAATATTTTAAAAATTATTTCTGTTATCTTTGTTTTCTCCATGATTAGAATGCTGAAGTTTTTTTGGAAGAAGGAAGCAATTGTAAAATATGGGTTGTTTATACTTTATTAATAATAATTTTTTCATATGATTACTGATCTAAATAGATAATCTTCCTCACGTTTGATTCCACTAATATTCCTTCCCAGAGAACTGGAGAACTAAAAAGAGGAGAGAGATCAGATCTATAACTTGTGTATATGCTTTCTTCTTCAAAGTATTAACTTACTTATTATAAGATTGGACCTTTTTCATGGATTTGTGTATTCAACCAATGAATCTATAGAAACCATATTCAAGAAAATGTTGAGGAAGATGTTGTGGGACATGTTCCCTGTTCTGTATCTGTAGACCTCAAATATGGGGCTCTGGGGTTGCAAATGAGTGGCTTTAATGTACACTGCTAGCATAAACAGCTCTGCCTCTAAAATGTGTTAGTGTTGCAGTGGAGATCTATTGTAATAATTACTTTTTTTCCCCCATCCCTGACTGGGGGAAAACCCTTATGTCATAGGGTGCAAAGAATGAAAATGTGGTTTCCACCAGGGAATGTATGTGGAAATAATCTGCTCCAGTAATTTTTGCCATCAAAGTTCCCCTTGTGAAGGGTAAAACGTGTAATTGCCCATAGTTAATTATTTCACCTAATGCCTGTTTTCTGAATTGCCTGTCTTTATGTCAGTCTGCCTTGTTGCTCTTAAGTATTTCGTAAGAGTGTGCAAGTATTCTTTTTGTAGATATCATTTGTACTCCTTTCTTCTTGTATTCCTAAACAACTAAAAGACTGATTTTGCAAAAAAATACTCATCTTTATAAATTATGGATATGTAAGGCTTATTTTATGGGTTTGCTGCTTATTTAAAAGTTGATTGTGTTCTTCTATCAGTCCTCTAAGAAGGAAATTGAGTATTGTACAACAAGATGAAATATTACTGAATTACAATAAAGTAAAAGCATCTGATCCCAGACATCTTATTTAATAACTTGCAAAGTACCTATTAATATTCCAGTAAGAAAATTGACAGAAAGTGAAATTATAAGGTTGTTTGTTCTACTTTTTAGACTATATAAATGGAGGAGAATTATTTACTCACCTTTCACACAGAGAGAGATTCTCAGAAAATGAGGTGCAGATTTACATTGGGGAAATTGTTTTGGCACTTGAACATCTCCACAAGGTAAAGTAACTTTATCCTAGTGCTGATTTTGTGAAAAGAACACAGTTGTAGTTCCATATCATATAAAGTTATAAGGAGAACTATATTTTTAGGTTGTTTTAAATTCAAAGTAACTTTATCTAGCAATGGGACATAGTTGTATAATTAGAAATACTTCCCAATGAAGTGTCTATTCATGTGCACCAGGTTAAGGCTACAAGTTTTTGTCTGCAGCGTGAAGAGTGTTATTGACAACGATTGTTAATTTTTAGTAATCCTTATGAAATGGTGTATGTCAGTAAAACTAATTTGTAGTCAACATATGAACACTGTTGTTCCGTTGTCCTTGTTTTGATACAATTAAACAGCAGAGTCCTGAAATTTTGGTGCAACTGTAGACATGAGAAGTGTTACAGTTTTCAGAGGTAGTAAGTAGATTTGTAGACTATTACAGAGCATGCATGTATGGTCTAGAACATATTACAGAAGCATCCATTTTTTATTCTTAATGAACGCTGAACTGAATTTTACACTGAGCAGCGAGTATTCAGTCACTCTTAGATCCAAAGGATATGGTATATCCTTTACATTTTAAGACATTACTGCACAGTGTAATTTCTGAGAATTTTTAAGAAGCTCAAAGTTATTTCTTTAAAGCATTTTAAAATTGTCCATTTTGAAGTGCAACTTTCAGGTGTCAGATTACCTTAATAACGGGAATTTTGCTAGCTTTGTATTTAAATGCATTCAACAATGTCTCCTTGATGTGGTTACACTGATTTGGAAATTTTTTCTTACATTCTGTTTGCAGTTGGGGATTATATATCGGGATATAAAGCTTGAGAATATTCTCCTTGATTCTGACGGACACGTGGTGCTGACAGACTTTGGTCTGAGCAAGGAGTTTCTTACTGATGAGGTGAGTATTTGACTCTCTAGAAAGTGTGGGCAAAATCCAGCAAGATCACAAAGTTGGTTTCTGTCTCATTGAAATCATAAACACATTTGAGAGTGGAGGAAAAACTGCCTTCTAGACTCTTACTTAATAGAACAACTATGTAGTCTGGTTTACTGGGTTTTGAGCTTTCAGTTCATTGGTCTTTGGCCTGCCAGTGTTGTCAGACATTTTTGTGTGTTCTAGTTCTCCCTGAAATGCCTTCATGCTCCCTCCTGCTGCCCTTTATGTGAAAGAGAAGAGATCCACACAAGTCTGAAAAGCCACTTACATTATCATTTTCAGATGCCTTTTTAAAAACGCTTGACTGTGCTAATACTTTGCAATGACTAGGCAAATGGTATGCTATGACTCTTCTTTATGCTAATAATAATTAATGTATTATTATCTTGTCTCTTTCTCATGTCTTTGTGTCACTTTTGATAAGCTTAATTGCAAGCTTTTAGGATAAAAGCTTATCTCTTATTAAATATGTGCATAGTATCTAACGCGGTGATCTCTGACTGTTGATGTTAGTTGTTAATTATTTGTAAGGTACAGTTTTATTGCCAAATATGCTTTTTAGATTTCAGAGAGTCAAAATTGCACAGGATTTTACTTCTGAGAGAATTTAAAAGTGGCTGTTTTTTGGCTTTCACTTTAGGTATCGGAGGTATTGAAATCTGTGACTACAGATCTAAAAGTCTTTGTTAGAATCAGCAGAGGGGTTTGCTAAAGATAGGTAACTGGTAGTTCCCTCTAGGATATTTGCATTTCAAATGGAGTCTGGTAGGATTTGGGAGGTACCAGTTTAAGAAATATGAAATACTGCTTTCTGAAGCAGGGAAATAATACAGATAATGTCAGTATATTCCTTTTAAATTATAGCATGAAACCAAGAGGAGGTTCAGCTGGCATGGCAGGGCATTAGCAGCAGATTGCCAGACCAGTGCAGGAGAGGAAGTACAGAGAGATGCAGCTTTCAGCCGG